CACATATTAGGGGTCATTTATCTGTCAATGTGTGTGCTTGTTAGTGAGTGTTTAATTCAAAATTTTTGTGTAATGTAAAGAAGCTTACAAAATAGCCATTGATTTAGTAGTAATACTAATAAAAATTCTGTGTTGTTTAGTAATGTTTAGACAAAATGGTAGAACAACATAGTAGTTGGTTGGACAATTAAGCAAAATGGTCGGAAAATGTCTGATGTCCGACTGTAATTTCAGGCTCTGTAATGTATGTACATAGTACTGCAGGCACTAGGCTAATGAGAGCCATGTAATCTGATTTGCATTGATAAACTACTTCCTCAAAATAACATTGTTATACAAACAGGTACAATAACCCCATCCAAAGGTACAATAAACCCATCGTACACTATATACATGGATATACTTACCATTTTTTGAAGAAATGTCTCCAGTTTCTTTTTCTTCAGTGGGTCTTTAGTCTTCCTAGCCTCAGTCTCCATTTGAGCTCTCTCTTGTTTCTTCACATCTTCAAGGAAAGAGAAACTCTTTGAGAACAAGTCAAGATTCAAGTGTCCACACCTTTCATCAAAACGAGGATCCATTCTCTTCTCCTATGCATGCACAAAGGGAAGGGAAAGGGAGAGGATAGAAAGGGGAAGGAGAAAGAGAGAACAATATAGGAACAGAGAGTACAAAAGAGGAGAGTAAAATAATAGTAGAGGAAGGGAAAGAGAGAGGGAGAGAGAGAGAGAGCAAATAGTCTACTATAATCTTGTAAAATATCCACCTTTTTAGGGACTTGTATAACTTGTTTAAATCTACTAACACGCTTCTTTGATGACATTTCTCAGGGCCTGAGAGTGAAAAAAAACATTGCTTATAAAAATTTGCAGCACACATCCTCCAGCTTTCACAAGAACTACATAAATTTGCTTGCCAGTTGGCACCATTTCAAAAATTGTGCACAAGCGGCCATAATTGGCTTGAATGATAAACAAGTTGTACACATTATGCATTGGTCTGGCTGGCGATACTAAATATTTACACATCTTACCTATTCTTGCTTGTCCTTTTAAAATCTTTATTATCATTGTCCTGTACTCTTAAGTGCTTTTGAAATGTATTGTCAAATCTAGACAGAAAGGGAATAGAGAGAAGGAGAGGAGAAAGATGAGAGAGAAGGCCAGGACCATATTTTTAATTGTTCATTCCTTACTTCTTTGTCCCCACTTTCTGTCTAAGATCTTGAAGCTGGCCCAGTGGTATATTTGATATTTCTAAGGAAAGAACTCAAATCTAAACCAAACTTTAGTTCCATTACCCTGTCTAATATCAGCCTCACTCTCATCAGCCATCTTAAACGAATGGGTGTGCCTTGGTCTCAACAAGCTTTATGGATGAAGAGGTCGAGGTTGATGCCTTTAAAAAAGAGTTTAAAAGATTCAATAGACCAAGCGAGGATGACATAAAAGACATCATTGATTTCACTCAACCTGAAAGGTTTAATGAGGTACGTGTACATCAGTTTTATTAAAGTTTTTATATGTCCATTGCCCCTTGTATCAGCATAGATCCTTACTATCCAGACAGTAGTTGATCCTCCTCCATTAGGAGCTTCAATCAGTGATGTACAATCATCGTGTAATGAGTTGGGATTAACATTACCAAGTGAATGGAAAGTTTACAGTCTCAAAACCATACCTGGTAGGCATTGTGATGTACTGATGTTGTTGTTCCATTGATTAACTGTATAACATTATGGTATGGGAAGAGTACCCTTGGCATTATACAATTAAGATCAAAGTCAGTGCACTGCATGGTGGTTGACAGATAATGTGCTACTACAAACCATTATTACAGCAAATGTTAGACACATTAGATATTATAAAAAGACACTTTGTAGCTTTGTTTAGGGTAAACAAGCAAATTAATGTGGACACATACAAAAGTACAGACACACTCAATGTGCTTACTGTATGCAAATTCAGCATAGCCTAGATTAAGATATTGCAGATATTCTTTAAGTACACACAGGTTATACCTACATGTATGTGCCTCTTTTCTTAGAAATCATGTACAGTGAGTACTCTTGGCATTATGATTAAGTCACTTTATTTATTAAAAAATGACGTATTTGACATGTTAGACATTATGAGACACATTATGCTGAATTTGCATACCGTAAGCACATTGAGTGTGTATGTACTTTTGTATGTGTCTGTTTATACATGTGTCACATAAATTTGCTTGTCTATATCCTAAACAAAGTGTCCCTGACTCCTTGTCCCAGTTTCATATAATCTAAAAAATAGACACAGTATGTATATAGACATACAGCAACTGATAAACGTTGTAATAAGCATATGAAACTGGGACAGGGAGTCAGGGACACTTTGTTTAGGATAGACAAGCAAATTAATGTGGACACATACAAATGTATAGACCATACACATACAAAAGTATACAGACACACTAAAATCAGCATAGCCTAGATGTAGACACAGGTTATACATGTACCTGCATGTAGCTACCTCTTTTTCTTAGAAATGTACTACGTTATAGTAACTATAAACAAACATTACTACATGACAAACTTAGTGTACCTCATTCTTAGAGGGGACACATACAATACATGTACATACAATGTATTAATGTGGACACTTAATGTATAGACATACACATACAAAAGTACAGACACACTCAATTTGGGCTGTGTACAATCACTGGACTGGAAAGGTGGAATGGAATAGTGGAATGGAATAGTGGAATAGCTACTGCAAATATGTTTGTGGGCAGTAGACATAATTTTTGTAATTCTATTTTTGTTAGAAGTCCCCTAGTTAGCTTAGGAGTCCCCTACTTATGTTAGGAGTCCCCTAGTTAGCTTAGGAGTCCCCTAGTTAGCTTAGGAGTCCCCAAGGTTGGGTTTAGGGTTTAGTTTTTTTTAATTTAGAGCGTCCCCTAGTCATGTTAAGAGTCCCCTACTTATGTTAGGAGTCCCCTAGTTAGCTTAGGAGTCCCCAAGGTTGGGTTTAGGGTTTAGTTTTTTTTATTTAGAGTGTCCCCTAGTCATGTTAAGAGTCCCCTACTTATGTTAGGAGTCCCCTACTTATGTTAGGAGTCCCCTGCTTATGTTAGGAGTCCCCTAGTTTTTTTTCTGTTGTGGTTTTTTAATTCTTTGGTACAAATACTGTATCAAATTAATCAAAAATCATTCCACTATTCCATTCCACCTTTCCAGTCCAGTGATTATATACAGCCCTCAATTTGCTTACAGTATGCAAATTCAGCATAGCCTAGATTAAGACACTGCAGACATTCTTAAGTACACACAGGTTATACTTGCGTGTACCTCTTTTCTTAGAAATCCACTTAAGCAACTATAAATAAACATTACTAGACAAACACGTATTACTGAACTTCATTCTTTTACATGCAGGACTGATATTCATTACTAATCCATTCCTGTGTGGAGGGCAGCACTATTGGATGCAAAAGTGTCTATTACAGTATCCATTACTACCCAATGTCACTAACTTAGACTCACACATCAGCAGAACAGGATCAGGACAAATATGGCCAATTGGCAAGTGAGTGAATGATTGGACAATAATTCTGACATGTTATATGAGTATCCGATGTCAATAAGAAATTGATCAAGTGTTGTACTACGATTGGATGTATTTTATGTCATTTTAATTGTAAAATAATTGCTAGCACATGTACATCGTTATAATATAACAATGTACATATATGTACATACATAAAATACATGTTCATACATATGTGTGTACATACTTATCTTATATTTTACAGCTAAGAGCATTTGTGGATAGTTACTGGTCACTTTGAAAGTTAAAAATTATAATCAATAATAACAAATTATTGTTTAAAAAACTCAGTGACGTCACACACAATACTATGTTTCTACTTGAACAGTCAGTATAATGCTCTCTTGGACATTAGCTTTATCAGAGTCAATTGTTATTTTGTCACTGAATGTATCATCATAGTTCTTGTTACTATAACACTATTTTTAGATTAAGGACTGATTTTGATGATGCTAAGTTGCTAACAATTAACTGATCGGTGCCCATGGCTATTGCTCTCAAGTAATCAAAATAATAATGATTAGCTTACTTAATGAGGTGAATTAGTGAATTGCCTTATATGTATTACAGCTGAAGCTCTGATAAAGCTAACGTCCAAAAGAGCATTATACTGACTGGTTAAGTGGAAACATAGTATTGTGTGTGACGATTTATCATTGTGTTTTTTAATAATAATTATGGGTTGTGACTGTTATTAGTCATACACACATCTATATTATGTACATATACATGTATGTATATGTACATAATAATGTACATATATATTATGTATCTACATGTACATACTGTATACCGTAGGTCGGGATATATTCGTGGCTGCTTATTTTCGCAATTTTTTCCCGCGCTCAGCAATTACCATGGTTACCAGATGCAATTTTAATTGAAAAGGCCGCGATATTAAGAGCAAAGGACTCTGTTGCAGTGTTCTTGGGTTGTTGTTCTTCTTGTTTTTACTAATCTTGGGTCTCTTTGGAGCTGTTTTAACCAGAGCTACTCTCCTCACTCTGCCTCGCCGTATCTTGGCCCATTGTTGGGACTCCCCACCCATTTATTAACTTGGGCGTGGTTAATTATCACCAGCAAGTGGAGCGGCAAGGATTTGTAGCAAAGAGCTCGAAGGTAGTGGTCCATACAAGAAGATAGCGGATGGAGAACTGGATGGCTCCCGCTAAAGCTGCTAAAGAATAGATTAGTGATGTTCGATACCGATACCAAAGTACTCGATACTTCGATACTACCCAGGATCAAAACGGTATCGAAAGCAATTCCAGTATCGAAAGATTCGATTCCGAGTACAGCCACACCCACTTAACTACAATAATAGTTAATAAACTACTAGTTAATTTTAAAATTAAAATGTAAATATTTTTTTATTTTAAAAAATGAACATTAAGAATAATATATAATCCTTCTCCAGCTGCTCTCTGAACTTTCTCAGTCTTTCTTGATTGTTGTTTGAGTCTTTGAGATGGTGAAAAATGTGGAAGTGAACAATGAAGCCTGTTTTTAGTGTTCATGGTCAATTCTAGCAGCAGTAACTGGCTGGAAGCACCTCTAGACTTTGACCTTATCTGGTACTCGGAATCGTACTCGATACCATCGATACTCTGAGAAAAAGTACTCGGAATCGAACCGAATTCATTTTTTCAGGTATCAAACATCACTAGAATAGATAATTAGCTGCTGAACACTGTAATTGTATAAA